GTTGGGGTTTGTGCGTGTGTGTGTGTGTGTGTGTTGGGGTTTGTGCGTGTGTGTGTGTGTGTGTGTGTGTGTGTGTGTTGGGGTTTGTGCATGTGTGTGTGTGTATGTTGGGGTGTGTTTGTGTGTGTGTGTTGAGGTTTGTTGCATGTGTGAGTGTTGTGGTTTGTGTGTGTGTTGGGGTTTGTGTGTGTGTGTACGTGTGTGTTTTGGAGTTTGTATGTGTGTATAGGTGTGTGTGTTGGGGTGTGGTTGTGTGTGTGTGTTGAGGTTTGTTGCATGTGTGAATGTTGTGGTTTGTGTGTGTGTAGGTGTGTGTGTGTGTTGGGGTTTGTGTGTGTGTGTTGGGGTTTTTGGGTCTGTGTGTTGGAGTTTGTGTGTGTGTGCGTGTGTCTGTGGGTTGGGATTTGTGTCCATGTGTGTGTTGGGGTTTGTTGCATTTGTGTGTGGGTTGGGGTTTGTGTGTGTGTGTGTACTTGGGTGTGTGTGTTGGGGTTTGTGTGTGTGCATGTGTATGTGTTGGGGTTTGTGTGTGTGACTGTGGGTTGAGGTTTGTGTTCGTGTGTGTGTGTGTGTCTGTGGGGAGACGGAGAAAGGAGAGAGGGGGTGGGGTGTTGAGTATTGTTATGCCCATCGATGCTGGGTTTCATCATCAGAGCTTTTGTCACCCTGCATCAAGGTATAGGCCACAGACCAACAGTTTCAAAGTTTTCCTATCCTTGGTTAGCTTCTTGATATTTTTCCATGTCTACCTACTCTTCTATACATCATTCTCTGTGACTTTTCTCCCGGTTGCATGTAGCCTTAATGGTTAGGTTAGTAATCTCTAAATTCTTTTTGCCATTCTTGTTCATGGGGGTTGGGGATTCGGGATCGGGATCAGTATTGTTGCAATTGTATTTTTATCAAGGTGGATTGTTGGCGCATGCTCTGGTTTGGTTTGCTCTTTCTAACCTATCAAACATCTATCGTCCTATCTCTCCTTTTTTGCTTTTGTTACTATCTTGTAATACCTCTAATCATCGGTACTTATATGACCTAATTATGTTGAAAGTGCTCTAAAATCTTGCTAATACTAAAACGTTTATATCAAGGTATTGTCACTTCCCTCTACAGGTTGTCCACCTTCTTTTCCTTGTACGTTACTGTCTATAATAAAAATAATGATAATGATAATAAATTACCTTTATATAGTGCTCTATCCCGTACTAGTATAAGCTCTGAGCGCTTTACACCAATTACATAATCATTCACACAAGAGAAAGTATTTCACACAAACAAGAAAAACCAGTTCAACCACATAAAGAACTTTCACAACCATACACTATTTATATACACGAAAAGACAGCAGTAAAAAAACAAAACTTATCAGCACTTACTGACACACTATAACTAAGAATTTAAAAAATAAGTCTTTAGCAATCGTTTAAAGCTATCAAAATTTGTTATTTCTCTGAGATCCCTGGCAAGGAGTTCCCGATTTTTGGGCCTAAAAATGAGAAACTTTTCTCACCAAAAGATAATAATTTCATTGTAGGGACTCTGAATTTTGTTGCATCTGTGGATGACCGTATCTGACGAGATGGAACGCACAGTTTTAAAAGCTCAGATAGATATGATGGGGTTTTATCGTTAAGGCATTTATAACAGATGGTAGAAACTTTACACTGGATTCTTTTATCGACTGGGAGCCAATGCAGAACTGTTAACATTTTTTATCCGGGATCTTTCTTCTTTTTCTTCCGCATCTATCACTATTACTTGCCATAACAGTTGTTTTTTACTCATCTATACTTTTCTCTTTCCCCCCAGGAACTCACTTCAAAACTGCAAAAGTTAGGCAAGCTGGTGGAAGAATCCTTACATTCTGAGTCTGAAAACCAAGGTAATGATGTGAAGTATGTTCTCAACGTAGGGCGTTGGATTTCTTTTGATATAAGGTTAAGCTGATTCACCAGCTTGTAGTGGGGGGTTGGCAGGTGCTCAAGTGTGGCTTGCTCCTTATTTCCTATCAAACGTCTATTCTTTTTTGTGTTTGTTACTCTCTTGTAATACCGTTAATCTTCGGTACTTATGTGACCTTAAACTTTCTTCTGTTTACTATAAGCTTCTCTTTACTCAAACTCAAAACTTTCTTCTCTTTACTCAAACTTTCTTCTCTTTACTAAAACTCAAACTTTCTTCTCTTTACTCAAACTCAAACTTTCTTCTCTTTACTCTAACTTTCTTCTCTTTACTCAAAATTTCTTCTCTTTTCTCAAACTTTCTTCTCTTCACTCAAAATTTCTTCTCTTTACTCAAAACTTTCTGCTCTTTACTCAAACTTGCGTCTCTTTGCTCAAACTCAAAACTTTCTTCTCTTTACTTAAACTCAAAAGCTTCTCTTTACTCAAACTAACAAACCCCTTGACTTTGTCCTTGCCTCCAGCCCTGTTCCAGTCGATCCTGAGCACGTCCCTGCTGTACACAGAGGGCTACATGAATGCCTGGACGCGCGGCCTGCACACTCAGGGCTGGGTCACGGAGACGGCCCTGCTGGCCGCGGATGAGTGGAGGGCTCTCTGGGACTTTGAGTATCTGGAGGATAAGAAGCACGGATAGGTGGAGGGAGATTGGTGTTTTCACACGGGCGTGCGTGTATGTGCTCGTTTGTTTACGTGGATACTGTGCATATGCACACACAAGGACCCACACTCTCTCACTCACATAGATATGCAACATATTCTTTCTATCTATCTATCTATCTATCTGTCTCTCTCTCTCTCTTTCTCTCTCTGTTTGTCTTTCTCTCTCAGTTTGTCTGTCTCTCTCTCTATCTCTCTCTCTCTATCTCTCTCTCTCTCTCTCTCTGTTTGTCTGTGTGTCTCTCTCTGTCTCTCTTTCTCTCTCTCTCTCTCACACACAAACAAGCACATGCACACACATGCTCAAGATCTGTTATTCTGCCTTGTCTGAATCAACCAAAGAATTTATCATCAAATTCTGTACTCAAAATTCTTTTTCAATTCCAATAAAACCCATTTTGCTTGATGCATGTCCGCGATGCGGGGTGTTGTGATAACTACTTTAACAGGAGTGGTCTGAGGACGTGGAACTCTTCATTTTTTGCAGAGGTGCTTCATTTCCAGATAAATTCAGAAATTGCATTGTTTACATTTTGCCCGACTTTAGGCCAGTTGTTGAAAAATAATAATAGTAATAATAATAGATAGCATTTGTATAGCGCATATCCCCGCTCAGCAGCAGGCTCTATGCGCTTTACACTATATTATTACCCCAGCAGACCATAGAACACTCCGAAACATTCTCAGCTTCCCGGGAAGCGTACAGGTCTGATTGTTGCCCTTCCTATTAAAAACTGTTGATATGAGATGTGTTAGACAAAATGATTTGTGAATTTTGATTCCTCACATGCGCGCATTACGATGAGATTTAAATTGTTCAGGATTTTTTTTCTGAACCCAGTTGGCACCTCTGTCGAAAGCATGCATTGTGATTTAGATCTGGTCAATCGGAGAGAAATATCCTGTTTCATGACACGATTTCCTTGTGAAAAAAATCTTGCCTATGTAAAAGCAAAGCGATGAAGCTGGGTTTTTTTTAATGTTTGTTTAACTCTGTTTTATAAGAAATTTAGAGTGTCTCCCTTTAATCCACACTGTTTGTGTTTTACTGTTTGAGCAGTATTTAATTTGAAAGGTAGGTCTTGGACATTCTTTCAGGATAGTATGTGTCCCTTTTTGGAGAAAAAAAAGATAATGATCTGGTTTAAAAATCTCAGACATACCACATGATGTGTCCATAGGAGAGAGACTTTGCAAAACCTTTCTTCGCTTCATCCAGGTAAAAATGGGTGACTGGCCTAGACAGCGAAATGTCTTGTTAAAGTGATATAGTGTTGGTGTGCCTGTTAAATGAGAGGTTAGAATATTCAGGAATATTTCAAAGTGTCTCAGATAAAAATAAATTATTAAACGCATGGAGCCTTCTTTTGACCTGAGATGTGTGCTTAGTAAATGCAATATCTATTTATGTAATTTTCTGGAAGGAGGGTGTGCAGTACTCCTGTAGTATTTTGTTACCAAGTTGTGCAAATGTTCTAAGCCGAGAAAGCAAAATTTTCAAGAGAGAAAAAACTTTCATTATTTTAAAAACTGTACATTATGTACCTTTTCTTGGCGCTTTTATTTTACTTTTAAACAATCAAAATTTTGGACTTAATACATCTGAACAGCAGGTAGATGATTTCCGGAATGTTATTATGAATTACCTGTGTCCATAAAGATACACTTATCCCACATATTTCATACCAAGCAAAACAATTTATCAATTACTAGTATTTTGACTATTTAAAATACCGTAACCTTGCATATTCCTGGTACCCCGGGAAAGCACAAAAAGATTCACCATTAGTTTAAATTGCTGTGCTCGAATCTCTACTGTTGTCAAATTTCTTTTCTCAAACAGTTACTCTGAGTCAAAGAATGGAATCCAATGTACTTGTATGGTGAAACTTTTTGTTGAAGTGTCTTTTGAGGCATCACTAAAGATCAAATTAATGTTTGATGCCAGCACATCTTTATAAGAAAGTTGGATCTTCAACAAATTATTAGAAAAAATGTTCAGAGACTTTTGGCTTATCATGATACCAAAAGATTACTGCATTCTTTTGGCGGTTCCTTTACCTTTGATTATACCCAGCTGATGTGTACCGTTGGGTTAACTAAAAATGTGTGTGTGCCTGGAGACAGGTCCCAGTTGTCTGAAAGCAAATTCAATGTTGAACACGCTGAGTTTTTAATTTTTCAAATATCTTGAGTACCGGTAGTACTAAAGATCGGGCACATTTTGTAACACAAGGTGTAAAAACAAATTTTGGAGAAAAACGGCTTTTTTCTTTGTATGTTGACCTTTGATGAAGTACAAAGTGTTGCAAAAATAATTAATTTTTAAAATATCTTGACTCGAAATATTGTAAAATCCTTTCAATAAGTTATTAAGCAATGATTAAATGTGTGTTTTTTTAATGGAAATAACTTTTTGTCCAGGTCCGACATTTTTGGCCTTTTCTCCCCATTGCTCAAAAATAGCTTTGCCGACAACTAGGATCTTTCTCCAGGTACACACACAAATTTAAATTCAGACTGTGGTCAGAGGGCTATTTCAAGAAAAATGCAACTGTAGTCACTCGTGCAACCCGCAGATAACATCCTGCTGAGAATTATAAGCGTTGATACGAGAGCCATTCTTTCTTTCTGTTGTTGTTGTTGTTGTTGTTGCTGTTGTTGGAGACATCTTCCTCTTAACTAAAACAATGAGTTAAAATGAGTTGCTGTTGTCTGTCATTTTCTTGGATGCAGTACACATGGACTTTCAAAATGCTTCTCAGTAGATGTTGTGTGAAAAATGTGGTTCTGTGTTTCATGAAATATGTACACACTTTTTCAAAATATTGCAAGAAGCTTTGTTGGATAAGCGAACACTCTACTTAGTTAACTTCTCTGTTCATGGGCCATTTTTCTCCGAAAGGGTCATGAAAATCGCTACTTACTTGTTGCTTCTAAGTGGAAAAGGACAATGATTTTAAAGATACACTCATAGTTCACAATTGTTTAAGACAACCTCAAGAATCTATGCGTCAGGTTTATGTTTTTAAAAACATTACATGAGTGGGTGAAGATGGTACCTGGACATATACCGGAGGTTCATTTCAGTGTCTGACAGGACAAAAGGGGTACCCTGGACTTTACTGCAATATTTAGCTTTGTACCGATCTACTATAGCAGTGTGACAATTTACTTAAGCAATGTACAGATCTACTATAGCAGTGTAGTGATTTACACAAGCAATGTTCCGATCTACTGTAGCAGTGTAATGATTTACATAAGCAATGTACCGATCTACTGTAGCAGTGTAATGATTTACATAAGCAATGTTCCGATCTACTGTAGCAGTGTAATGATTTACATAAGCAATGTACCGATCTACTGTAGCAGTGTAATGATCTACATAGCAATGTATCAATTTACTCTGTTAGCTTTTCATATCTTCTTCTTTCTCAGGTTCAGGGGCAAACACACCCCCCACATGTTGTCTCATTGCTGTTATTTCCGCAGTAATAACCTACATCCAATCAGTATGTCCTGCCAATATCTTTCATTCCCAGTGTCCTTCACTTCAGATGTGTTCTTCTTGTGTCACGTCAGATGTGCTGCTCTTGTTGAAGTTGTGCGTTCTTTTCATCAAATGCCTTGAGAATTGCTATATTGTTGATCATCGAATTGTTTGCTGTGTTGAAAAGACTGTGTTGAAGAATTCTGTGAACAGGGTTGGTCTTTTGAAAAGTCTGTTATTAAATTATAACGTCAACGAAAAACACGTGAAATATCATTAGGTCTGTAAACAAGTCATTAAATTATTATTATGAGGAAAAGAAAAGACATCCAGGGTACTTTTTGATAGACTAATTAATTAATTTATTATACTTATACATATGTTTTTAATGCTTTTTTTTTAAATCAGCATTTCTTAAAGTGTTTTGTATTAACAATAATTTGGAACCACGTAGATCTAGATCCATTGTATCTTTTGAGAGTGATGTGTGAAATTTGCACCACTAACTGGTGTGTTTAGATAGAAGTTTTAAATTTGAGTGGAATTTCCAGTTTTTGCACTACTTTGTCATGAATTTATGAACATATTTTGACTGTTTTCTTTTGATTATTGATCCTTTTTCTCTTGATATATCAACTTCGTATAACCATAATATTGCCTTTTGTTGGGTACAGGCACCAGTAATGCATTTTTGTTATTTATAGAAATTTTAATTGTTTATTTAAGAATTTTAAAACTTTTCTCTCGTCTCGTTTTGTTCGTTTTGCATGGATTTGGTTCGAGAGTAGAATCACGTAATTCTACTGCAACGAGTGTTCAGATATTTTTTCCAAGTATTATTACCGTTTTCAAGTTAACTATGTACAAAAATGATGTGCTGGGAGACAGATATATTTTATTATAAGGACCACGTGTTTTTCTGTTGGTTTTTTATTATTTTATTTATTTTTTTACCTTCTTAATGCATAATATTCAACTTTTCAGCTGAAAATAGAAAGAGATAATTGAAAATCCCATTAATTCACTGTTTGTAAAGACATTAACTACCACCATCATCTCAGTTGGTTGGACAAAATTTTTAGGTAGGCCTATTTTTGCATGAAATATTTTTCATTTTAACTTTAACAGAGGTGCCACTTTCTGATAAATCCTGAAATCTGGATGTCTAAAATTGTCCACATGTCCAGATTTTTCCCCGACTTCTGCATGTCATATTGCGCTGATAGTCTTTACACAAGTTGTATTAGACAATGTGATCAGCAAATTTTGAGTCCTCACTCACACGCATGTGATTCCGAGATATTCGAAAAGTTCTAGAATATTCTTCCGCGGCCTGTTGGCACCTCCTCTGTTTAATGGACCATGCTGTCTGTTTAAACAAGCAATACCGGTAGCCAATTTGTTTTGACTCTAGTAAGTAGATTGGTTGTGAGTGTTTTTAAAAATGGTTTTTTTTTTTAAACTTCCGTTTTATTTTTTCCAATGTTTTTGTTTTATATAATCTAACGCTCCAACGTTGCCCAAAGTGAAGGGAACAATAACACAAGTAACCACAGTATCGATCTCTCTCTTTCTCCACAATTCCCCGTTATTTCTTTCCAGATGTTGTGTCGGTCATTGGTTTGGGTTTTTTGGGGGGTTTTTTGGCTTTATCTTAGTGTCTTTTTGTACGGTTTTGTTGTTGTTTTCTTTGTTAGGGGGAGGGGGGGGGGTGTCTTTAATTTTTTATTTTTTATTTATTTTATTTTTTTTTGGACAATTTTTTCACTCATTTGTATTTTTTGTCCCTTTAATTGGAAAAATTATTGTTTGTTGTTCTGTTTGTTTTTGGGGGTTTTTTTTTTTATTTTACAAGAGACTGACATTGACAAGGGAACAATTAGACGTTAGTCTCTTTTATGATAATTGTTTTTATTTGCTCATCAAACATCTGGCTACTAGTCACCATTTTGTCTTCACTTCAGACCCAGTATTTATTGTCATCTGGTTTAGTGATGGATGCAAGTACCTAAGAAAAAATTACACATTTTTTGTGCGGTTGAATAAATCATAAAATTACAAAAATAATCATGTGTGGTAAAAAATGTAATTCCCAACATACCGTTTTGGTCCATTTAAGTTAAAAAGTTACAAATACTTACATGATAAATATTTGATGCATAAAGTTTCAAGTACTTTTGTGATAAAATATCTCATTCATTCATAAAGTTGCAAATGCTTATCTGGTAAAATCTTTTTTATTATAAAATTACAAGTACCTTTGTGGTAAAATATATTTAATTCATGAAGTTGCAAGTACTTTTGTGGTAAAATAGAGTTTTGATTAAATATATTCAATTTTCAAAGTTAGAAATTTGTATGCCATGAAATATTAAATTCATAAAATTACAAGTACTTATGTGGTACAATTTATGAATCAAAGAGTTATTTAACCAAATATGTTGGGGGGATTTTGCTGCAAACCATCGAATTGCAACGTAGTGTTGGGGAATTACTCATTCCGGACGTATCACCGATATATCGGCTGTGATAGAGTGCCACAGTATTGTTTCATTTTAGCATGGTCCATCATTTATAATTACTTTTTATTGTTATTGAAACCTTGGAACGGATTTAGGAAACGAAAACATCTAAGTTTTACTTTGCCAAAGCGTCGGTTTTGCGAAAAACGAGTGAATTAGTTCTTTCGGCCTTGCATCTACAAAACAATGTAACTGGACTCAGTATAAATATCATAACTCAAACAAAAATTGGAATATTGCTTTCAAATAAAAAGATGCTCTTTCAGATATTTATGGATTATGCTCTTGGCCTGTATATGATAAGGTAGCTGTGCTGATTTGCTTTCACGTGTTTGGTGAGTGTAATTTTTTCCTTTAAAATTGATTTTTCTCATCACCATCGCCATTTCTTACCCTTGTAATGTATACTTATGTTCAAAATTAATCCTTGTTTCATGTTAGAATGTATTCCTCATTCAATTTGGTATATCATGTTATGTTTTGAGTGATGTTTATGCTTATATAAAGTTATAAAGTTATTTTGTACACCATCTGTGCAGCCAAATCGAGCCAGAAGTTAATTATGTCTAGACCCCAAATAAACTACGTCCGGAAAGCTACGAAAAATTCAGTTTGAATTTGATTCCTTTTTTCCTGCCTGTACGGTACTCTTCAAGGAATATTGTCAGCATCATTTCAAGACGCTTGCGGTGTCGTCGGCGACTTTAGTTGCCAGGCCGTAGTATGCGCTAACTACCACTGGCGACTTTAGTTACTGATGTGACCAAGCACGCTAAACATAATTAAACAACAAACAGACACACTGCACGGAAGTAAATATCAAGGGAAGTCACTCTATATGATAGCTGAATAGTTGATGAACCTCTATGAAATTTTAAAGCATGTTTCTTCGGCTGCCAAGGTTGTTTTTTTTAATTTTTTAAAAACTCTATCACGGCTTCAGCATTTTAAACAGGTGCGGTACTTGAGGGTTTTTCACTTCAAGAGCCTTCAGTACTGTGTAAGTGTAAGTGTTAACAATTGCCCAAATAAATTTCTGGGGGTTTCCAGATAAAACCATGCATCATTAAAATTAAGAAATCTCTTATTAAATAACTTCGATGTGTTTCCAATTTTCTTCCAAGCTTATTTTTTTAAATTCATGAGTAGCGATACCCTAGATTCTAGCTATGGTTCTGATGAGAATCTTCTTTTCAAAAAAATATTAAAATTTTTTTTTCTTCTTCATTTCAATTTTTTTATGAGTGATTATAGTGGCACTTGTGTGCTCAAACTGTGTTGCAAGTGCTGTAAAACTGACTGAAACTTTTAAAAGAAAACAAAAGTGACTCGTGAAACATTTTTGACTTGTATGTATGTACCTTCTACTGACATGGGGTGCTGTTACGATGGAATATTGTGCATGTGTTAAAAGAAAAAATATTCCAATATTTATGACCACTGTGTGCATTTTACTTATGTTGTTGACGTTATTGATTGGATTTTTTGTGCCGTGCTGTTCCTGAAAATCACGTTTAAGTTTCATATTGTAATCAAATTCCCCTCATTATTTCATGTAGACACTTTGATGGGTTCTTTCGCATACGTTGGTGCCATTAATAAAGCATTATATTCATATGAAATTCCCCTTTTTTTGTGTGTGTGTGTATGTGTACTACATTTCTGGATTCCCAAATAAATCATAGTACGAACCACAAAATAAAAAACACGAAAAAGAAAATCATGTAAATGTGAGAAAATTATAGATAACAGAAATGAATAGCTGATACTAATCATGAAAAAAAAATTTAAGAATTAAACGGCAGAAAAACAAATCACTGATGAAAAACAAAAATAGATACCTGGAAAGATTGTAGATGTAGAGAAACAATAGCGGAAAAAGTAAGAGATAAAAGATAAATAAATATCAGGGGGAAAAAACATTCCCAAATAAAAGTAAAACGCAACAGTCAGTATATTTTTATTTTATTTATCATGTATGTTCAGAACAAATGATCATCTTTGTCCATTTGTGCCGCCACAAAGTGAAAAGAGCAAAATCTTTTATGAATGAAAACAAAATAACCACTTGAGCGCGTCCTCTGAGAGATATAACGGCGTCACCTTTTGTCACAGTCACAACACAAACAACTGCCAAAGCCATTTATGTCACATTTCTAGTTTTAGGTACCAAAAAGAAAGCCTGGGCTTGTTACGTACAGACGTGTGGTTGAAAGGCGCTATTAGTAGGTCCTATTTCTTTTTTCCTCGTCTGCTGTGTCTGTCTTGCTTCTTCCCTGCGCTGTATAACCACTATGATGTCAATGTGCTTTTCTTTTTTCTCAAACTTTAACTCTTGTTTCGTATCCTCAATATAGCAGGCTTTTGCTTTGTGTACTAAAAAATACAAGTTCTGAGATATTTTCAATTTTGCTCATGTCATGACATAGACTTTTCGGTAAGCACTGGGGTTTTTTTGGCTTTTGTTTAAGTCGCTCAAAACAACAGGAAGTTGCTAAGACGATTGTGTTATGACCATCACATCACAGTGAACAGAAGTGGTTTTTACGCCAAGGCATATGAAAACAGCATCATCAGTGTCCAACGCAAAAGCCCTGTATCTCCACCCTCGTTTCAAAAATATTTATGGTGGGAATCGGACACTGGTATAATACAGTTGTGGTTTTCAGTCTGTTAGAAGTGGAATGAACCACCAGACCATTTTAAAAAAAATAATTATGGTTTATCTTAGTTTTTGTCCAACTCTGACATGTCGGGTTCTGAAATACCCAGTAAAACTTTTTTTAAATTTAAAGAACAGTTGGCAAGTTACAAGTTGCTGTCGAAACTAGATCTATCAAACTTCCAACAAAATAAGTCTTAAACTGGTGCTTCTTCCAAATTTCATGTAGCTGTGAAGGATTTTTCCAGTAGAACTTTTTTAAAAGATATTCCTTCAAAATTCTAAATTTTTTACACTTACGGCTTAAAACACATATTTTAGAATGAATTATTTACCGCTATTTGTCTCCATTATTGCTCGCTATTCCTCTCTGCAGAACATGAATTAAATATTACTATTACTCCCTATTGTTTTGAATACAAATACTTTATATTTCATAAATATGACAGGTCAAATATATTCCACATTATTTTCAGTCTCTATTTCCGACAAATAACAATCGATTTATTCTTTTTAAAAAGTGAACATCTAAAATAAGCAAAATCAGACAATGAAAGGCCCTTGGGCAAATTGCTGAGAACCAGTGATGGAGAGATACACATATGTGAGGCCTGGTCCCTCGTCAAAATGAGTTGCTTCTCAGATTTTAGCCCTAAGGCCTATGGACACAGATACCTCCAACTTATAGGTGAAGTTAGTATGAAATGACAAAAGATATGTTAAAATTGAAGAAAATGGCATCAGTTAAAAATTCTACAAATTTGACACATGCATCTATTTTCGGTCAATATGTCCACTGTGAGAAGTAGCTCATTTTGTCAGCACACCTCACATATATATCACAAGAGCATTCACCGAGAAATAAAAGTGGAAGACGTAAATATAGTCCCACACAAACCTTCAGATTATAGTTAAGGAAAAACACACAAAACTCCCAATACTACAGCATGAACGATTTTTAAAAAAACAAACATGTTTTCATGATGAACACAGTGAAGAATTGAGGTTGCAAGCTCGTCATACAGGAAGTTGACAGTGAACACATACTTTTCTCCATGTTACGCATGAACGCAACTTTTCAACTTTTCACTTTTAGCAAAACAATATGTGATTCTCCACTTGACAGGCAAATTGCTCATAATTATTATGAATAATATGCCTACCAGGCACAGACCTGTACATTTAACTCTTTGCTGAAATCAACAGGCTTATGACTGAACACTCAAAAACATTCAATAGTACCATAAAAACACCCTCGGTATGCACTTCACGTCATTTTCACAACAAACCACTCCTTTCAGAGCCCTGCAAACTTCAATAAATCTGCTAAAGTCAATAGAAAAATGAACACAATTCTGTCTGCAAACACAATGATGAGCACAACGTACAACGCAGTCTACTTAAACTGAAATCTGCAGGAACGTCTGATTTCCTTCAGTTTAGCTGTGTTTTCTGTTTAGAGAGATGGCTAAAATAGCAAAGAAAAAAAATCAGGGACTTTTTTCTTTCAATTTACCGCTATCTTTGGAATAACCGAGCTTGGTTTATAAGCGGACTCCACTGTAGTTCATTAAAAGAAAGCTGGTATCACAGGAGGAACTAATTCTATCGACTCACCTTATTTATTTAATCAAATTTGATATCTAATTAATGTTCCCCTCCAGACAGTAAACATGCTTACCCTCAAAAAGTCTTGCATGACCTGTTCAGAACAGTAACAACAAAAACATTTTTTCCTAACACTTATAAACAAGTAGACAACAAGTCACAACACAAAATCAAAATATAACAAAGGTGACACTGAGTCTAGGATTCTTTAAAAAAAACAACACAACCTAATCTTTGCAAAAGGAGTATTTTGGTATTCTAAAATGTAACCTACTTATACATAAACACAAGAGTAAGATGTACTTATACATTGATGCTGGAGCATTAACTTTTCGAAAAAATATAAATTCATTTAGGCTGGAGTGTTGATTATTCTTTGCTTTAATTTTTTTTTTAAAGAGAGATAACCACACTGAGATTCTATTATCTAATGTTACGTAATGGAGGCCGCAGAAGATCTGGAAAGTTCACATTCCCTACATTATGATTTTATTCAGTAAAGATTTTACGGCCCTCGCAACTGCATAAGGTCATATGAGCACCAAGGGGTGGATGTCAACAGAGAAATCTTTACAGGGAATCGGGCTTACTCTGCTCACCTCTCTAGCATTCCCTACATGAAACACAGGGTCTCAATACAAGTTATTAAAAACTATTGTTAGAAAGTTGGACAAACCGACTGCTTATTGTAAGTCTCCACAATGGGCCATTTTGAAACATGACATTATGACGTATGACAGAGTCTTACACTGCATGAGCAGTCCATATTAAGTTGGTCTCCTAGGATCATAAAGAATTTAGTGCTTAACTTATTTTGATTTTGCTAGAATATTCTTTTTAACCGAGCAATATTCAAACAAAAGTCTAGCAAGCTCACAACCATGAAGGTTACACCAATCAACACATAGTCAATAAGGACCATGTTCACTAAAGGGTTTTGGGTGGTTGAGAGCGCCACTAGTAGGTCTTACTTTTTTTTCTTTCTCTCTGTTGTTTCTGTGTTTCAATCTTACTTTTTTCCCCACACTAAGCAACCATTATTGTGTTATGTGCTTCCCTTACTTTACTCAAATAAACAAACGGGACCAAAATCAGCAATAGCATTAACATATCCTCCTCAAACACCTCAACTAATTAGACATCGATGCAAATTGTTGATGCTCCAAAAGCCTAGCTCATGTTTCAGACTACAATCCTTTTCTCTGAAAATAAGAATAAGAAGACCACAGAACACTCACACAACAGTCAACAAAGACCCAAGTGGCAATTTTACAATCCACAAACAATCTGTCCAGGAGCAGATTTCCCCCAAAGTCATGCTCCTGAGAATAAATTCTGAAACCTAAAACGCAATCTGAATTTAAAACTTCATTGACAAAACAAAACTAGAAACTTCACGAAAAATTCAAACACATTTTTTTTTTAATTCGCGTTATTAGAACATTGACCACGAAGGGTTAATACTGATTTAAATCAGCGTTGAGCAAAAATTAAACCCTACTCCAATTAACATGTAATCCTATCTCAACCACTATTCTATACGCAGCACAGCTCAGCTTTTGCATATAAAGAATAATATCAAAATATACTACCCAATATCAACTTCTCATTTTCTATAAAAAAATTATATGGTGATCACAGCTCAATCTAATAAGTCTATCAGTAAGAGAGGTTCAATTTGTCACAACCTCGTACAATGCACATATCGAACCATCTTATCAAAAAATATACAGACGTATCATTTAAACCAACACAGTGTCACCAAAGAAATTAACTGTACAAAAAGATGATACAGCCTAAACACACAATACGTCCATAAAAAATGGGGCTCAATCTAGATTTAAGCAAAGTAATCTAATTGAAAGCAATAATAATAATAATAATAATAATGTTAGTAGCAACAAAATAAAACATGACCTTATAATACAGAATGAGCAAAGACATATTTGTGCACACACTAGTAGCATCAAGCCTTATAAAGCAGCCATGTCAGGATAAAGCAGCCATGTCAGGAAAATTGATTTCTTACGGAGCTAGAAAAAAGCATCTGATTCTTTCTCAGTTGTCCATGTGATTTGACAACCTGTGATGGCTTATTGTGATACCTACTGAGCAGCTTGTCAAGATAAAAATGGGCAATATAAATGAAATTTATTATTATTATCAACTGATTGTGAGTTGGGCTCTAATTACGTGGGGAATTTCAGAGCTATTTTCTTAACACTGTCTTTCACTTCACTGATAGACACACTTGTGTTAATGAGGTAGAGCACAGTATTTGTGTTACCCTGCATTCAAAAAGTGTTTTTGACAAATTCAGACCTGGCACTTTGAGCTCAATGCCACCAATATGGCACAAAAAGTATCTCCCTGATCATAAAGAATAGTGCACGCCGTGATACAAACAACATAATATAGCTGCGCCTGAAGTTAATCCGTAGCAAACGTTCAACTCATTCTGTACTAGAGTAACCACATTCATAAGCGAACCTCACAAAAAAATGTCTACTTCTTAAATATCTATCTGTCAATTTAAAAAAACACATGTCACACATAGACACACACACACACAAAGTTTTTATCTTTCAATTCTAGGACTTTTCATCTTAATTATTATAATTTAGCCAAGCTGATGCTAAAGAGGTCACCTGGTAGACACACCGTTTTTCAATAGAAGAGACTGCATGATCACCGAGTTGATGTTGAGAAATATGAAAGCAACCACAAAGTTTCCCACTGCGTGAATAGCTGCATAAACCTTCAATCCAAAACTTTTCTCAATCACTGACCCACTCATAGTATCATGTCAGCAGAGATAAAAGATATCAAAAAGTTTAAAGTTTTAATACAGCGACAGGCTCCATTAGGGCAATTTCAATTCAATGATCAGTAAAACTCCTGTTACAAATACAACCTCGTCAGTCAGCCAGGAGATCCTATTACGCCAAGTACACAGACTACAAAGGATGAGGTAGACCACGCAAAACGTGGCTGAGGGAGTCAAAGGAACCCTGAGAAATGACAACTTCTCAACTGAAAGAGTTGCAGAGTTGGCCTATCATAGAAAACTGCACCGCCCCTCGACATTCAGTGGCAACAGAAGAGAAGATGAAAATGTAAAAAGTAAAAGCAATAAGTAAAAATAAACATGACAATAAGAGTAAGAGCAGAATTTCTGTTCTGCAACAGAAAGAGATATGCCAGTTCATTTGTGTAAGGGCACAAACAAGAAACATGTTGCAAACATCAAAACGAAATAATAAACAACGACAACAAAATAAAACAGTATTGACAAAACACAAATGACTTTTCTGCCTAGTTAAAAATAAAAATCTGAGGACGGCCACTGAAATGAATCCAAACTTCAGCAGCGACAGAGACTGAAAAACGCATATTTATATTATACTCGTGCATGCAATGCTGAAAAAAAAAAAGAGAAATACGACTCCAATTTCACAGACTTATTGGGTAAGGTGTTAAATAACACAACTCCCAATAAATCAAGAAGTTTATCATAGAATATGAAATGACAAACACACACAATTCTATGCAATGTTCATCTGGTCTGGTCAAGCTGTTCACAAAACTCTTAACAAAACAAAAGTAAAAACAAAAAACCAAGTTTCCATCACATAAATACATGGCACCGTGATAAGGAGTACTCACAAGAATCTCAGAGAGAAGCATTTCGTCAACAAGCTGTCCAGCTGTTCTGAGCCCAGAAAGCAAAAGTTTTCAGGAGAGAAACAACTGCATACATTATGTATATTTTCTTTCTTTTTCCATTATTCAGAATTTGAATTTCGATAATAAATCTTTTACACGTGCAACTCATATCTAAAATTAAGAAACTGCAATTTAAACAATTTTTTTTACAAATTTGGGGCTTAGTACAACTGAAGAGTTGGTCGACGATTTGATGCAGAATTTGACAAAGTCACACAGAAGAGCAATAAAGACTTTCTCAAAACTTCCCAGTGGGTGGCTTTAGGGCTCCACTGGTAGGTTCTTCTTCTTTTCTTTCTCCAATTTTAGAGACCACAAAGTGTCAAAAAAAGGTACAAAGAATAGGGCTGTAAGTTAACAAGAGATCACAGAAATATTTGAAACACCATCAGTTTTATATAAACCCACTGATCACAAGAAGTTACTTATTCATAAATACATTCAAGCTGCTACCCTCAGTTCTAAATAAAACGAGTCACATAAAGTTACAAATTCAGAAGCACAACATCCAAGCTTTCACAGTCCTCCAAATACTTAAAGACTTCATCCAATACTCTCTCAATTACAATAAAAAGATACGAGTGAATCTTTAAACTTTTTTGTTCCCAATGCATTGGATCCTTGAACATCAATGGCAGGAGAAAAAAAGAACACTGCTGTGCTATTGCTGAATTGTAGCCAATGGAGAAATCATGACAATAACAGGAATTAGGTATCGAAAATAATAAATTTCTTGAAAGCAAGTGTCACACAAAAACTGCCACACTGACAAGAGAAGGGCGGGACGAAACATGAAGTTCTTCCCCTTCTTCCTCTTACTCTTTTATTTTGTTGTTTTTCTTCCTCTTCTTTCCCCTCCTCTGTGTTTGCTAGGATGTGTTATAATAGGATATGGCAAAAAGTGAAGGTGTTCTTGTTCTTCATTATCTTCTTCTTCTTCTTCTTCTCTCTCCTTAGTTTACAAAAATTAGTTTTACAAGCAGAAAAGGGTATAATGAACAGTGAAGGACCCCCTCCTCCCCTTTGTTTGCGAAGACATGTTATAATAGGGCATGACATCATCGTCTGCTTTTTCTTCTCCTACTTCTCCTCTCAGTTTACCAAAATATGGGGCCTAATGTTATTAGAAGAAAATGGTAAGATAAAATGTGAAGTTCTTCCTCTCTCAACTCCGTCTCCCTCATCATTCCCTAAAGACAAGCCCTCTTCTTCCCCCTCCTCATTCCCTCACAACAAGTTACCTCCTCCTCCACCTCCTCCTCTCCCCCCCCCCCTTATCATTCCCTTAAAACAAGCTCTCTTCTTTCCATTCCTCCAAATTCTCCCTCCCCTCAAAACAACCTGTCCCCGTGGTTTTATACACCCCGCATAATATAGCAAAATTTGATCATTTTTTGCATAATTTCTAATTATTTTCCTAAATCATTCTTTGTTAAAATTAACAGAATCGCATAATTTAACATTTTTGGGCTCAGTTTGCAAAATTTCTGAATTTTTCTTACATAAAACGACGAGGACAGAATAACCCTTATAATCCCCTCTAAAAGTCCTGCAGCTCAGGGATGTTGTAGTACAGGTCTATGCTGCTGGGGTTGGCCAGAGCCCCTCGCTGAGGGACGTCCTTCCCCGCCACGGCCTGCTTCACAGCCACCTCCACCTTCTTGCCACTGATGGTGTACTGTCAGGGAGGGAGAACAAAAACACAACACAATTAGTTCCTCAAAAATTTTTTTATTTTAGTAGAGGTTTGTTTTATGTTTTATTAGAAGTTTTACGGCGCTCGCAACTGCATAAGGTCATATGAGCACCAAGGCGTGGATGTCAACAGAGAAGTCCTTACAGGGAATCAGACTTACTCTGCTCACCTCTCTAGCTTCAACAGCACAAAGTCTGTTTCGACTATCAAGGCACCCCGGAAATTGTGGGTCACAAGAGTGTGACAAACATATAAAAGAAGTAGAGGAAAAATGACAATAGTAAGGATTAGGAAAGAAAAAGGAGCAGTTCCCTGTAGTAGATCAGGCACAGTAATGAGCATGACACGGAGCTCGCAACTGCATAAGGTCATATGAGTACCAGAAGATTAGAGGTGTTACAAGAGAGTAACAAACATAAAAAACGAGGAGGGGAGATAAGGAACATAGACGTTTGATAGGAAAGAAGAAGTAAACAACACCAGAGCACCCGAAACACAACACGATTAGTTCATCAAAATTTGACAATTGAAAACAACAACTACCACTTGTCAGTTTGTTTGCTTTAGTAAAGACAAGTACATCGGCACAATAATGGTCATTTGGTGCTCGGAAAATGTAAGAGACAGACAGACAGTCAGAAACAACAGAGGGAAAGCAAAGAAGTGGGACCAACCAGTGGCGCCCTCCAACTACCCGTACAACAACAGCAACAACAACAATGACAACAACAACAACAACAAAAACAATAACTCACAAAAATGCCATGATAGCTGTGGGCACAAAGTAAGCAGACAGGAATGTACGCATGTACGTTTTGATGCTGTTGAACACACAAACACGCACGCACACATACATGCATGCACCCACACACAAGCACGCACGCACACATACATGCCTGCACCCATACACACAAGCACGCACGCACACACACACACAACACAAACAGCAACACCAACAACAACAACAACTCACAGGAATATCAGCAATAGGCATTATGACCGCCGGCACATGACGGGCTGACAGGTAGGTGCGTATGTGTGTCTTGATGCTGTTGACTACAGCAGCGCCAAACTCACTGCCCGGCGCCATCTTGAGGAAGAGGATGACTCGTTCTTCGATGCCGTCCTTGCTCCGCTGGCTCACGCACACGCTGTCCTGAATCTCCTTGAAGCTCTCCACTTTTAGGGAAGAAGGCGGAAGATAGACAGTTCACTTTTCCACTTTTTGCATGGTTTTTTTATCGAGGGGGGGGGGGGGTGTGCGGTGGTTTCATTTTGAGATTTTTTTGGGGTGTGTGTGAGTGTGTGTGTGTGTGTGTGAGAGTGTGTGGGGGGGGAGGTTTTTGCCTTTTTTTTTAATACAAAAAGCCCACCCACAGAGGACAACATGGGATCAGATGCTGTCCCACATTTCCTTAAAGCACTCCACTACAGAGAGAAATACCAAAAAAATTCAGTTGGTCTTTTTTCCTTTTTGTTCTTTTAAAATTAACATTAACCTGGTGTTATAGCTGTTTTATGTGTATTAAAAGATGCTGGCATAACTTATCTGCACATACAATGTTTGTGCCATTAAAACCCAAATTTCTGCACAGGAATGAACAAAAGCAATATTTTCTCCTTTTTTTTCTATTCAAATATTCATTTACGAAAATCCACAATCATAAAATCAAAACAAGTTCATTTTCTCTCACAATTCAAATTTTTTAAGTTAAAAAAAAAACCCAATGAACGGAAAATACTCAGCCACAAAAAATAAACTGAAAAACCAAGGTCATTTCGACCACTAAGATTTTTCCTCATAGTTGTTTTTTTTATAATTCTTTAGCTCATCGAGTCATTCTGTCATATTTTAAAACCATTGCCATGACACAAAAAGAAAGAAGCTCAGAGACAACACTTCACTACTCACCAACATGGTAGACTTCAGCACTGCCAAATCTCACACCATTCGGATTCAACGTGCCATCACTGAAAGAAAACCACATAGAAATGTACGCATAAGATTTTCCATTGCCCTTGTCATATCATTTATGAAGTAAGCGAAACTGGTTTTTGTTAATTCAGTTTTCATTTTAGTGACAGCTTTTGGTTGACAGGCACTCTAGTATGGTTTGCTCCTACTTTCCTGTCAAACATCTATCGTCCTTATCTCTCCTCCTCCTTTTCTTTGAATGCTACTCTCTTGTAACACCTCTAATCTTCAGCACTTATATGACCATTGTACTGCAAGTGCCACTTACAAGAGCACATAAGATCTCATGTGTTGAAGAATCAATTGTAAATTGAAATTATCAATTTCATATGTTGTGTCAAAGACAGGTCTGAATTTCGACTAGATCTAGAAATTGTCCTATAACATTAGAAATAAAGCCAACCCCCAGACTGCTGCGTGATTAAACCAAATAAGCCGGACTTATCACAAGGGTGAACAGAATAAAACCAGAACTTCCCCCAATGTGTCCTTTGTGTGACTATGCATATGAGACAGTGGAACATCACCTTTTCCACTGTACAGCCCTAAATGACATCAGAGCTACACTTCTCCCTCCGAGACCTAACTTTGACAACACACTCTACGGAACATTACAGCAACTGCAGCAAACCGGCACTTATTACTACATGGCAGGCAGGCAGGCAGAGAGACAGACAGACAGAGAGACAGAGAGACAGAGAGACAGACAGAGAGACAGACAGACAGACAGACAGACAGACAGACAGACAGACAGACAGACAGACAGAGTTGGTAAAAAAACAGACAGTGCATAAGTAAAATAAAACCCACCAGAGACAGACAAACAGACACAGAAAAAAAAGACAGAGAGAAACGACCGATAGACAGACAGCAACAAAAGAAACATTCTCAGCTCCCTTTAGTTTTAGTAGAGGCTATACGGCGCTCGCGCAACTGCATAAGGTCATAATATGAGCGCCAGAAGATTAGAGGTGTTACAAGAGAGTAACAAACACAAAAAAGAAGAAGGGGAGATAAGTACGATAGATGTCTGATAGGAAAGAAGAAGCACACCACACCAGAGCACCTGCCAACCACCCACTCTCAGCTCCCTGGGACCACTACAAGTTCAAGGCACAGTTGTGTGCTACGCTGTAGAGAAACCATGTTTAATTTGTTTAGTTTTAGTAGAGGTTTTTCGACGCTCACAACTGCATAAAACCATGTTTGCCTTCTTCGTTTTTAGTAAGAGTTTTATGGCACTTGCAACACAATAAGGTCATATAAGTGCCCAAGATTAGAGGAGTTACAAGAGAGTAACAAACACAAAAAAGAAGGAAGGGATATAAGGACGATAGATGTCTGATAGGAAAGAAGAAGCAAACCACACCAGAGCACCCGCCAACCACCCACTCACCTTCGCCCCAGCATGATCACGCCACCCGTCTCGTTGTTGATGGCACAGAAGTCACCATGGGCCCACACACCTGTGGGAGTAGGGGAGGGAGGAGGAGGAGGGAAGGAGGAAAGGGAAGGAGAAGGAGGAGGGAAGGAGGAGGAGGAGGGATGGAGGAAAGGGAAGGAGGAGAGAGAGGGAGCGATAAGAGAAAGAAGATGGTTAGAGGGAGTGAGGGAGAAGGAGACAGAAAGAGGGAGAGGGAGGAAGAGGAGAGAGTGAACAATGAGAGAAAGAGGAAGGAGAGAGGTAGTGAGGGAGAGGGAGAGAGAAAGGAGGAGAGGGAGGGAGGAGAGAGGGAACAAAAAGAGAAAGAGGGTGGAAAGAGGGAGTGAAGGAGAGAGAAAGGAGGAGGAGGCAGGAAGAGGGAGGAAGGAGGTGGAGGGAGAAAGTGGGAGGGAGAGGGAGAGAAGAAGAGGGAGAGAAGAAGAGGGAGAGAAGAAGAGGGAGAGAAGAAGAGGAGGAGTAGGG